ATTCCGTGGGTCCAATATTACCCTGATACCAAAGCCAAAGTCATCACACAAAAAAAGAAAATCTTTGATTTAAGTTCCCTTATGAATATAGATGCAAAAATCATCAAAAAATACTAACCGAATGAACTTGTGTATCAATTCAACTTAAAAGATGACAGTGTCCTTCTGTGTAGCTCCTGCCTGCCTTTCCATTGTCCAGATATCTCTAATGCCTTCCTGCCCCATGAATAGAACTATGATCCATCCACAATTCCATCCTGGGTTTGTCATATAAACAGACATAATTAAAATACTCACTCCAGCCAATCATAAGTCCCCATGGAAAAGAAAAGATGGGAATACTTCTACTATAAATAGTCTATGAGAGCTGAAAGCAGGAACTGGATGCAGTCTAATCAAGTAAATGATTGTTAAATTATTTAAGCTCTTCAGATGAAGCCAGGTAAGGTGCTTGACTTGGGTGGGGGGACAGATGAGGAGACAGGAAGGCAACACAGGGAGGGAACCAGCTCTGCTACCTGCCTTCCATATTCACATAAGGGAGGGATGCTTCAGAGTAAGTCAGCGTCTCTGGAAAAGCCTATGACTAGACCCTTGGTCTGTGGCCCCAAGATAGTGTCACCTAGCAATGAGCAGTGGCCTTGCCTACCTGGTGCTCATAGTATGCATGTAGACGCACGCCTAACCCCACCAGCATTTGGTACCCACCCTGAGTTTGGGGAGTGAGTTGAAAGCCCTCTGTTTTCTCTTTGAACAGAACAGATATTCATACCCTAAGACAGTTAAGGCAGAAATCCAATTACTGATCTAATTAGCACCTTTGAGGGGTAAATACCAAATTTAGCACTGGAGAAAAGCTCAAATTACCCAATATGGTTGACAGGTCACCTTCTTAGAGAGTCTGGTGGAGGACCAGGGGCCCTGGGGCACACAGACTGCTGAGCTTAGTCACTGCTGATCAGAATTTAGCCCTCTGCATCCAAAGCCTTTTTCAAATATAGCTTTCCAGTTAACATCATTTTCGAAGGTGTTTTCATTCCCTAGGGAGTTTGGTAAATGACTTTCTTTTGGCTTAGTCCCACTTTAAAAATTGTTTATCCTGCTGCTGAAAATTCCATTTGTCCTAGGTCTTAAGGTGAAATTAAAATTACATTTAGGGACTAAGCATGCCCACATGAGAGTTTGGGCTTCATTAGAAAGAATTTGGTTGTTTGCTTTATTTTCTGCTACCCTGGGCTCTTATTTTTGAAGCTGATCTGAGGGTCTTTGGAAGGACACTGAAGCAGGAAGAGAACAGTGTGCTGGGGCTTGTGGCATTTTTGAACTGTAACAGAATATTCTTTCTCTCCAACCCATCTGTAGAAGCTATTCCACAATACCCAAGCAGGATCCTACCTACACGGCTCTCAAATATCTGAGACATATGAGGAAATTACAACACTTCTTTTCTTCTGAAGACTAGCCGTTTCATTGATTGATTGATTGATTCTTTTTTATTTTAATCTATTTTTATATATAGTGGCTAACATTTGTAAATCTCAAACTCCCAAATTTATCCCTTCCCACCCCTTTCCCCGGTAACGATAAGATTGTTTACTATGTCTGTGTGTCTGTTTCTGTTTTGTAGATGAATTCATAGTGTTCTTTTTATTTTTTTCAGACTCCACATATGAGTGACATCATATGGTATTTTTCTTTCTCTTTCCGGCTTACTTCACTTAGAATGACATTCTCCAGGGGCATCCATGTTGCTGCAAATGGCATTATTTTATTCGTTTTTATGGCAGAGTAGTATTCCATTGTATAAATATACCACAGCTTCTTTATCCAGTCATCTGTCTGTGGACATTTAGGTTGCTTCCATGTCTTGGCTATTGTAAATAGTGGTGCTGTGAACATTGGGGTGCATGTATCTTTTCACATTAGAGTTCCCTCCAGATATATGCCCAGCAGTGGAATTACTGGGTGATATGGTAAGTCTATTTTTAGTTTTTTGAGGAATCTCCATACTGTTTTCCATAATGGTTGCACCAAACTGCATTCCCAACAGCAGAGTAGGAGGGTTCCCTTTTCTCCACAGCCTCTCCAGCATTTATCATTCATGGACTTTTGAATGATGACCATTCTGACTGGTGTGAGGTGATACCTCCTTGTAGTTTTGATTACAGTTGCATCTGAGCAGCTTTCTCTGATTCCCAAGAGACAAGTTCAAGCAAGAAGTCTGCATTTGGTGGTTTCTTCTTAAGCATCATCACAAACAAGTGCTGGTTGGCAGTCACGTTTAAATGTTCTCCGGTAGCACCCAGCCTCCTTTCTCTCTAGCAGGTACCATGAGAGAAAAACCCTTGAGAAGCAGTATTATCTTTGACTGTTAATTTCTTTAGTCAACCAATATTTGCATGACTCCTGTGTGGCAGGTGTGAGCAAAATGCCTGCACTCGTGGTACTTAGGGTCCGATGTAAGAGGCAAATGTGATCAGATCATCACACAAAGACAGGTCTGATGTGGAGTGGAGTGAAGGCTCCAGAGGCAGCTTACCTGAGTTCAAATTCTGGCTCTACCACCTGTGAGCTCTATGACTTGGGGCATTTAATCCACTGTGTCTCGCGCTCCTCCTCTGTGAGAAGGGGTATTATCAGTAGTACATCAGAAAATGTTTGTACTTACACAGGGAAGTGCTATGTTTTTATTAATAACATTAACTGTGACAAGTACTCCAAAGAGCACAAGACATGAAGCTCTCACCTAGAACAGTTGCCAGGAAGGCTTCCTGGGGAACATGAGTGGCACTTTGCTAGACTGGAAGGATATTGGAAAGATGAGAGGGGTCGATGAGGAAAAGTGGGTGGGACCGGAAAGGGAGCACTCCAAGTAGAGGTCATGACAGGTGCAAAGGATGCAGGGGAGGGAGGAGTGTCAGGGGGAAGGCGGTGTGTTGAAGACGCATATGGTTGGAGCACAGACAGCAAAGGGCAGAGTGATGGGAAGGCAGGGGCCAGGCATGTTAAGGATCAGTTTCTTCACACATATTCCTGGGAACCTCATCATGTTCAAACTTGTATATAACCCTACATTCAATGATATATTTCTAGTGAAAATCCTTTCTTTTTTTTTTTTTATTGAAGCATAGTTGATTTACAAGTTTGTGTTAGTTTCTGGTGCACAGCATAATGATTCATTTACACACACACACACACACACACACACATATATATATATGCTTTTAATTAGTAGTAGAAGTAGTAGTATGTTTCAGAGGAACAGCATTATAATTTGACATTCTATTTTTATTTTACTTTTAATGGAGGTACTGGGGATTGAACCCAGTACCTTGTGCATGCTAAGCACATGCTCTACCACTGAGCTATACCAACCCCCTCATATGTTCTTTTTTAATATATATTCTTGTTCATATTCTTTAACATTATAGGTCATTACAAGAAATTGAATATAGTTCCCTGTACTGTACAATAGGTCCTAGTTTTTTATCTATTTTATGTATAGTAATGTGTATCTGCAAATCCCAAACTCCCAATTTATCCCTTCCCACCCGCTTTCCCCTTTGGTAACCATAAGTTTGTTTTCTATGTCTGTGAGTCTGTTTCTGTTTTATAAATAAGTCTTTTGTGCCATTCTTTTAGATTCCACATACAAGTGACATCATATGGTATTTGTCTTTCTGTGTCTGACTTCCTTCACTGACTATGAGCATGTCCAGGTCCACCCATGACAAACTGAAAGCCCTTTCTTAATGGCTTAGGCTTAACCATACGAACTTGCCACTTCCGGAGGTCATAAACAGTTGAATATCATCGCCTTCATATGGTTAACATCCATTTCATATTTCGTCCCTCAAAGGGTGACAAGACCACCACTCAGTGTCTGAAATTAAAAGCCAAGCTGGTCAGGCACAGTCCCTTCCCAGCAGAGCTGATGGTTGCCCTTCTCAAGGGTTTCGGGACCTGTGAAGTTCAAGGACGGGTGAGGTTTTAGAGACTTAAGGGGGCTGATACCATCTGCACAGGCTGTCACGTGGGGAGACTCCTGTTGATCGGTTGCCCCTGAGAGGTCTGGACGGAGTCTGTAACCTCACTGGCTGACTTTCAGAAGCAAGAGGGGGACCATGGACTGGCTGGCTTGCCAAAAGCTTACCAAGGTTGAGGTGAGCTGTCATAACTGAGAAGGTTTACAGCTGGTTCTGGGGCCACTTGTTACCATGGCTACTGATAACCCACCTTTTCCTGAGCTTGTGAGAGCTGTTTTTATTCTTGTGGTTCAACCTAAGAAAAGGCTGTAAGAATGGGCCCAACTCATGAAAGCAAGTGGTGGAGACACTGACTACTCATCACGACTTTCTGGACTCAGTCTGAAAAGAAAAATATTTACGCATGCATTGCTTTCAAGTTCTGAACGTGAGTGCCATTCCTTCGGCAGTTCAAAGGCTTGCTTTTATTTTGTGGACCTGGTGCTTTAAACTGATAAAGATGAAAGCCATTCTCCCATATTCTAAGCACTCTTCAACTCTTCCCCCTGTGTGTTTTGTGTATTTTTCCCTCCCTTCTTTACTGTGAGACAAGAAATTGAATGTAGTTCCCTGTGCTATACAGTAGGTCCTTGTTGTTTATCTATTTTATATACAGTAAGGTGTATCTGCAAATCTCAAACTCCCAATTTATCCCTTCCCACCCTCTTTCCCCTTTGGTAACCGTAAGTTTGTTTTCCATGTCTGTGAGTCTGTTTCTGTTTTATAAATAAGTTCACTTGTGCCTTTCTTTTAGATTCCACATGTAAGTGACTTCATATGGTATTTGTCTTTCTGTGTCTGACTTCCTTCACTTAGTATGAACATCTTCTGGCAGCCTTCCCAACGCGGGCCAATCACCCTAAGTGTGATGCTCGGTTTCCCCTGAATTTCCTGCTCACACAGCTAACTCTGTGAGCCAGCTCTCCTTTGTAGGGATTTAATCACGACCTCTTACCCTTTTGTGGTCCCTTCTAGTACAAGGCGTGTGGATAATTCCAACACAAGGCTGGTGGTCCAGATTGAAAAGGATCCAGGTAAGAGGATATCCTCCTACTCTTTTTTTAAGCAGTTGATTGATTTTGTGGTGTAGATAGACTCCTCCCATCCAAAAAGGGAATTAAGTACTCACTTTTTAAAATCACTGTGGTGACAATGCATGTCTTGGTAAATATGCTGACTGTAAAATTAAACTTCAAATAGAACTGATGTATCCTGATTGCTTTGGAGGTGCACTCCTCCATTTTTTAGAGTTGATCAGATATCTCTTCAGTATTGAATGACTCTGTTAATTAAGCTACTTTAATCGGTATATGGGAAACATTGAATCCAGACTATAAACCTTGGTATCTTCTGACAAACATTTTTTTGAAAAACATCAACATGATGAGGTCCTTCGAGGCAAACCACTCCAGGATCCAGGATCCAGAAGTCTTCAGAAACTTTGTTCAACCTTCAGCTCTGGATGGATTTATCTGGCAGAAAATTATTTTACTTTTTTCTTCCTATTGTCTATCTCATTTTCAATCATTTGACCTTTTTTTTGCCCTCATTATCAGAATGCAAATTTCAACTGGTCTCCATTTTTATCCACCTCACTCTCTCCCCGGTGCCAAAAATGTTGTCCAGGAAGAATCCTGTTAGGCTCATTAGCTCTGTTTGAATTGCATGTACAGGATTAATTTGAAATTTGATAACACCTGGAGAGACAGGTTTACTTTTCATTTAACTTTATGTCAGTCCAACTTGAAGGGGGCGTGAATTGGGGCATAAACATCTCTAATATGGAGCCGTGGGGCTGAGATTTTGCAGGCTATTGGTATCAGACATATGCACAATTTTATGAGTGAATCATGCCTTCAGTTGTTCATAATTTTGTCTCATTTTAATCTAATTATGCAGATGTGTGGTCAAGGTGTTCTAAGAGCTCCACTTTCAGTGGGTTTAAATTGTTTTGTGTTGTTTAAACATCAGACAGTTTGAACAATGAAAAGTTAATTCTCTCATTCAGGCCTTTTCCTTTAAAAGTGCCCCAGACTCAAAGTAATCTCTAATTAGTGCTTCAGGATGCATGCGGATTCATCATAGAAAAGGAATATCGTGGCAGGTCAGGTAGACTTCATCTGCATAGAAAATTCAGCACACGGATACTTTATCAGATTACATGACATGACTCAGCCCATAGGACAGTTCATTTCTTTCCATTAATTATAATTAGGTGATAAATGCACTAATTTTAATTCAGCTCTTGACTTTCATGAATGCCTAGCAATGATATTCATGGTTTGAGTGTGTTCCCCTCCAGATTTCTTAGCGGTAGATCAGTGCTCTTTCTTTGTGGGTGCACTTGGGGGCCAGTCTGCACCTTCCCTTACCCCCAGTCATACTCTGGTTCCCTCGGGTACAGAGCAGGGGATCTACAGGCGGATCTACAGTCTTTATCTTGGACCTCCCTGAATCTCTGTCTCCACTCCAATTGACAGCCTAGGAGGGTACTCTGAGCTTTGCTTTAGGCATTTTCTCTTTGGGGCAACTCTATGCTTCTCTGACTTTCTAGGCCAGAATTTACTCCCCAAAGAAAAGATACTCCTAAAATGAAAGCACTAAAGGCAGACTTTCCTCCTAGCCCCTCCCACCCCCAGGACCTTGGACTAGGAGGATGTCCCAGTTTATCCAGTCTTCTTAAAAAAGGTTATATCCTTCATCACGAGAGATCTGGCAGAGGGAGTAAAAGGAAGCAGGGCCCAGCAGGGAGATGAAAGGAAATACACCATGAAGCCTCAGTTCTGTGCTCCTGAGACACACTGTCCTTCCATTGGGAAGCAGGCTGTTGCATCACTCCATCTCCTTTCCTGTATCCTCCCTTCTCTCTTCCCTTGGTGTCATCATCTACCCACTTAGAATGGCTAAGACTACACAAACAAGCAACAGTTGACAATACCAAGTCCTGGCAAGAATGCCGTGATTCCCAATCACTGCGAGAAAGGGTGCAACATGGTACAGCTGCACTGGACGATAGCAGCGTCACTCCTGGGGGTTTACTCCAGAGAAATGAAAACTTGTTCACAGAAGCTTCTGTCCTCAAACACTGTGAGTGGATTTACTCGTAAGCAGCAAAACTGGAAACAACCCAAAGGCCCTTCAGCTGTAGAATGGATAAGCAAATAGTAGTTCCCACCTACAAAAGAAACAGGGCAAATCACTGCTGCGTTCAGCAATACAGATAAAACACCAGTGCATCATTCTGAGCAGTGGTTAGTGACTATAAGCATTTTTTAAGACTCATCAGATCGTACACTAAAAAGGGTGAATTTTACTTAATAATATAATTTATTCCTTAATAACTTATTATAATTTATTATTACAATTTATTTTATTACTTAATAATATAAATTATTCCTCAATAAATCTGAGTTTTATATATATATATATAACTTAAAAACAATAAATATCATCTATATAATAATTTATATCTCTATATAATATTTAATACTGGCAATAGTTATTTATATTGTAGCATACATATGTATGTATATATGTATGTACATGCATATATTATTTTTCATCTATTATATGTGTATATAATGTATATACATATGTGGGCGAAGAATCTGAGGATTCTGATCCCCCCTTAATCAAATGACAGCCTCCCAGGTCTAGTACGTTGGAGGGGGCCTCGCTGAGCGTATTTCTCATCCTGTCTCCAGGGAATGATGACAACAATCTCAATTCCATCTTTTACGAGCACTTGACGAGGGCCCTGCAGGAGTCCCTCTGCGGAGACCTGGTCCTCGGCCGCTGGGGGAACTACGGCTCCGGCGACTGCTTCATTCTGGCTTCCGACTACCTCAACGCTTTTGTTCACCTGATTGAAATCGGCAATGGTCTCGTCACCTTTCAGCTGCGGGGACTGGAATTCCGAGGTAAGACTCTCTTGACGGTAGAAGTTGTTGGAAAGTCAATCATTTGAGTTCATTGCCTTGCAAAGCTTTCATACAAAGTCACGGTTGAAAAAGAATTTGATGACTGTCCGGCAGAATAAGAATTTGGGCGCTGCTACAACCGCTTTTATCCATGTTTTTGGGTATGAATAACCCCCAGTCACTTGAGGGGGTAAGAAAGTGACATGTACAGTCTGGTGTAAACCTTTGGAGAACAAGTCAGACTTTGGTTTCATTCCATCTGGAGGAAACTCAGAAGCAACAAGAAGCTATTGCTGCTGACTCCACGTTGAGTCCGCCAGACCTGAACCAGAACCTGGTTCTGTGGGTTGCACATGTCATGATCTGTTGTGGTATGTCACTTTGTGTCTCTGCGTTCTCTCTTTTTTTCTTTTTTTTTTTTTTGGTCATCTGTAAAATGCTAGGAAGAAGAATGACTGTTTCATAAAGTTGTGTGATTGAACGAGATGGTGTGTATGCAGGCGCCCCCTGGATGCGCACTGCTCTGTGGTTACCGAGTTGGCCAGATCTTGAAAGTGTGACTTCAGTTTGTCCATTAATCAGATGCTGGAGCTGCGGGCTGGGTCCTGCAGAGATTAGCATGACGGATGTACTCATGTGCCCGTCTCCTGGGTTCTTTGTTTATTCCTTCATTCAGTACATGCCTTTCTCTAATCTGACCCCCAGTCTGTGCTAGGCAGTGTTCTAATGCTGGAAATGTGATGGACACGTGACCGTGAGTTTTTCCCTCGCGATGTAGAAAATAAGTAAACAAATTGAGCAAACCAGTGGCAGTTTGTGGAAAGCATATAAAGGAGGCAGATAAGGTTCTGTGATGGGAATCACTGCAGACGGTGAGCGTGAGGAGGTCTTACATTGGATGGAACCATCAGGGAAGACCCTTGAGAACAGGAAGACGAACATTCCAGGCCAGAAACAGCTGAGTGCTGAACGCATGGGTCAGGAGCAACTGCCCTGAGCAGAGAGAGGGACCTAGTGTGCTGGCAATAAAGTGGCACAGAGAGGTGGGGAGGGGTGGGGTTCATGGGGACCTCAGAGTCAGGCGAAGGGCTGCGTTTTATTTTATGCACAAATGGGGAGCGGTGGAGGGTCTGGAAAGGGGAGTGATGGACCTGGTTTGTGCTTGAAGAGATTGTTCTGGGAGCTGTGCAGAGAGAGTGCTGGAGGGAGGCAAAGGCAGACACGGGGACACCACTTAGGAGTGTCCTGGAGTCACCCAAGCGGGCGGAGATGGCGGAGGCAGTGACCTGGCCAGAGCCTCGGGTCTGGGGCGGGCGATACAGGGCACTGGGGGGAACAGATGGGGTGCTCAGCCTGCTCCCCAGCTTCTAGGCTGAGTGCCTGGTGGACAGGGGTCACTGACTAAAACCAGGAAGCCTGGATGAGGAACGGCCCCTTTGGGATTTGGGGGTGTCATCAAGAGTTCTGCTTTGGATATTTCCATTTTAAAATGCCCTTGATTCATCCAGGTGAAGATATCCAGTAGCCAGTTGGACATGGGTGTCTCATGTTTGTTTGGGAGACATTTGTTCAGCACTGATTACATGTCAAGCCCTGGGCTGGGTGCTGCGAATACAGAATGAAGGCTTCACCTTAAGGAGCTTGGATTCTCGCCTAGAGTACAGACACGTGATGAGCAGGTACTGCCCAGGGAGCCACATGTCACAGCAGCGCCGTGCCTGGGGCACCTGGGGACCAGAGAAGTGGCACTGCCGTCAGACCAGGGTCTGGTCAGCTCGACAGAGCAGAGGCTGTGGCTGGACCAGAGGCACCAAGTCACCAGATGTGGGTTACCGGTGGTTTGGGGGGAAGGCGTTACGGACAGTGCTAGAAAGGTAAGTAGGAGCCAGGTCTTGGCCTCCCAGAACCTCACAGTGACAAAAGAACACTTCCCGGCCAAGAACAAATCGTCATTATTTCACATTCTAAAAACCTGGCGGGGTGCAGGTACAGCTCAGTGGCAGAGCGTGTGCTTAGCATGTGTGAGGTCGTGAGTTCAGTCCCCAGTCCCTCCATTTGAAGAAACAAAAACAAAAACCATTACCTAAAGAGGAGTCTTGTGCATCCTTACAAATTCTTGGAATCTAACTTAGGGAGTTTATTTTGGAAAAGGTTATTGGGCTCAGGGCGTAGTGATCAGATTCTAGAGAACACAGAATCGATGTCTCCCTGAAATTTTGCACCAATGCCAGAAAATGCCACAGGAGGTGGCGGCAATTAAGTGTCTCTGGAGCAATAGAATTGTCTATTTTGAGAGCTTCCGGTTTCTCCTGGGCTTCAAAGGAAGAACTTCTAAGGCTCCCTGAGCTGAATCTGAGTTACAGCTATATCACAAGTTCTGTGTGGCTTACAGCATTTTAGCAAACTTTACCCATCAGATGACGTATGGAAGGAAACTGGGGACCAACATTGGTGTATCAGCCCCAAGACAGAGGCGGTGGTCATGTGAGGTGACTGCCCAGGAATGATGTCTCGGGAGAAAATGCGGGAAAGACACCTTTTACAATCCCTTTTCCTTGACCTAATTTTACTGGAGTTTGGAACCCAGGGCTATTGAGAGAGCCTATAGCTTGACAGCAATCTAAATGATGCTCTGGTTGCAGGAAGAAGCCAGGTGACCTAAAATGACTGTTCTCTTTTCTATCTCTTTGCAACATGCGGGAGAGTATTCCCAGGGAAGACCTTCTTCTCTGTTTTCCTCTCTGGGTATTTTTCTAAGCTATCTCCTCAAGAGTTCACTTGTCTTTCCATCTTCCCATTTTCCCAAGTAGCAGGCTTTATTTTGGGCAAATTTTAACCTCTTTCAGCACAGCCTGCAGATGCATTGACTCTCTCCCCTGATGCATCCTGAAGCCATCAGTGGAAACAGGAGCTGCTCACAGCACAGGCTGACTCTCAGGAAATGAACAGTGCACCCCCAAGGAAGGCAGCCTCCCCCAGGCCAGGAAGGAAGGTCCATCTGTCTTTCTCTCACCGAAATGGATGCTTTTGTGTCAGTAGGATTTTTAATTGCAAATGACATACATCATCAGGTCGCTGACTTAAGCAGGAGAAGGGTCTACCAGAAGATGTTGCCCAGAGCACAGACTTGCTGAGATGGCTGGAGAAGGAGGCTCCGTGGCTGTCAGACCAGAGACATCTCTAAAGTCACACTGTAGCACCGAGCCTGTGAAGAGATCCAGTGCATCTCAGCTGGCAGACCCAACATGGCTCTCATGACCTCATGACCCTGGATATTGGATGCTGTCACCCCTATGGCATTTGACCCCCCGGAAACAGGATGACCAGCCCCTGCTACCACCTCCCTTCCAGAATACTTCCCACCCAAGCCCTGCTCCTTTGCATTGCTAGCTCGCTAGCCAGTGTCTGGGGGCACATCTGACGGAGAAAGCTGAGACTGCAGGCACATGATCTAGAGGCAAAGAAGAGCAGGAGAGAGTGTCTGGCTTCCAGTTCCTACAGTGGGAGGTGATTGCTGCCTCCCACCCAGACTCATAATATGGGTACCATATTGGTGGGAGTCATGCCTGCCCCTGTAACGGCTAAGTCCCAGATGTCAGTGACTAACACAGTAGATGTTGACTCTGCACTCACATAGAGTCCAGCCCATGAGAGACGGAGGCGAAGGCCCCGTTCCACACTACCAGGGATCCTGGCGAATAGAAACTCTTCCTTGTTCTTAGCACACTGCTAGGGGAAAAGACTTGGCGAGCAGTTAACCAGTCTCTGGCACAGTGGGTAATTTTCCAAACACAGAAAAGAGGTTTAGATCCCGGGTAACCCAAAAAGATTGCTCGAGGTCCACGCGGCAGCCTGTTTCCATCAGGCAGTGCTATTGTAAATGAGCGATACAAATTCAAATTAAGAATACAAATAAAGAAGCCACGTTTTTCTATTCTACACCTTTTGGTTCATGAATCCCAGAAGAGAATTATATATGTTTGGTTAACGTAAAGAAACAGGATCGCAGTGCCCTGACGTCTCTCAGGTTTGTGTCACTCGCATCTATTCAGCCAGGGAGCCTTGAAGGAAACCACTCCAGAGTTGACATGTGAATCATTGGCTTGAAATCTAAGTTGAGGAAACACAGTGTGCTTTGGAAGACCAACGGTGTGAAAGGCATCAAGTTCAAGTCTTTCTGAAAGAAATCAATGAAATCGAATCTGTTGAATTTTAAGACCCATGTAACCGTCATCTGTGTAGCTGCACACAGAATAATGGAAAAGTGAGAGTTGATTATCTGTTCTATGCATTTCTGCTCTCCTTTCGTCATCCAGGTGACCTAGATTGATGCTCTGGCTTATTTCTGTTAGAAGAGGGGTGGAAATGAATGAGGAGGAAAGAATTGCCGACAAGGGGAGCCAGGCAACATGAAAAGCCTGTCTTTATAAATGAATAAGAGAAGAACCGAGAACAGGAGGGAAAAAGGAATTGGAAGGAGTCTTGTATGAGATGCATGTGAATGCCACGCTCAGGGGAGAGCCCTCTCTCACCTGTGGTGGTGACACTGACCCTTAGAATGGCCACAGTTCCGACACTTCCTCCATGTGAGTCCTGGGCAAAGCCAGGCCCCAGGAGGTGGGTTCTCTCCCAAGGCTCGCAGCTGCTTAGTGGTAGAGCTAGGCCAACCCACACGGCTCTCTCTTACATGGGATTTCTCTTTGTACCTGACCTTCATTTCGTCTCTATTTTTTCATTCCTCCTTTTGGGTGTTTCTTTGGAATTTGTACCACAGTGTTTGTTCATTTGTTTAATGAAACACTAAGTAACTGGGTAAAATGCCTCCAGTCACCTGCACAGCCTTTCAAAAGCCCCATGTCATTTTCCCAGTTGCAAAGATAAGTCCACTTTATGCCAGAACATTCAACAGGGCACACACATGACTTGGCCTCTCAGCGCTTCAATTTCTTCGTCACAGCCTTGGTGTGACTATAAATTTTTTCCAGCTCTGACAGCCCCCA